TAGCTACCCCAAAGAGTTTAAGGTTTGGGTTTTTGTTTTGTTTTGTTTTTTCTGAGGCAATCGGGGTTAAGTGAGTTGGCCAGGGTCACACAGCTAGTAAGTGTCTGAGGCCAGCTTTGAACGTGGGTCTTCCTGACTCAAAGGCCAGACCTCTATCCATTGCGCCAGCTAGTTGCCCCTTAGTTCAGGTGTTTTTGTTATTTTTCATCCTTTGACTTTAATATTTTTTGTTGTCTCATGGGTCAATTTCTATTTAGTCCAGGGGTGGGTAACCTGTGGCCTTGAGGCCACATGTGACTGTCTAGGTTCTCAAGTGCGGCAGGTTTGGATTCAATCAAAGGGCCACTCTTGAGGACCTAGACAGCCATATGTGGCCTTGAGGCTGCAGGTTACCCACCCCTGAAATTTTAGTCCATTCTGATTTTCATGGAATTTGTTGTTTGGGAAGGGTTTTTTTAATCTCTTATGCCAAGCCACTAACTTTATTTTCAAGTCTTGTCTTCCATAGTTCTCATTTCTTTTCCATTTTTCCTCTAGCACTCATTTTATTCATAAACACATTTTAAAACTCTCATTTCATCTCTTCCAGGAATTCTAGTTGAACTTGTGCCCAAACCATGTTTTCATTTTAGGTTTTGCTTATAGATGTTTTGGAGTCATTCATTTCTTCTGGGTTTATGTTTTGAGCATCCCCATTGCCATAATAGTTCTTTATGGTAGAATTCTTTTTTGTTTGTTTGTTTGTTCATTCTTTCAGTCTATATCATGACTTCAGAGTTTATATTAGGGCTGGGCCCTGCCCAGTTCTAGAGGAAATGTCTGGGTAAAGCTTGTGTCCTATTAGACTGTGAACTCCTTGAAAGCAGGAACTGTTTATTTTTTGCCATTCTTCGTATTCTCAAAACTTAGCACAGTCCAGGCACACAGCAGGTGCTTAATAAATGCTAATTGTCTGATTAGCTTGGGTTCTGCAGTTGCTTTCTTGGAGTATTGAATATTATGTTATCCTAGGATCTCAGAACTAGCAGTTTAGTCCGGGAACCTACAAGCTTCCAGGGTTCCCATAATGCTCTGATCCAGGGCAAAGTATGATCACTGTTTTCCTGATCTGAGCGCTAGATAATCCTGACCTGGATTTGTGTCTAAGCAACACATAACTTGCCTCGGTAGGAGTTCCAGTAGACTACTGCTGAAATTAGCCGCTCTTAGTCAGCTGGAAAGCTCTGATGGTTCAGAGTGGTAGAACTACCAGCCTTTGGTCTGGGTTTCCTGTCCTTGTTATTCCACTGCAGGCTTCACATTGGGCTGGTGTCTGGAAGTGAACTCTCTCTGCTCTGTCACACAGATGCCACTTGTCCTAAACTCACTTTTTGCTTATTATACAGTGGGCCTGTGACTTTTCCTTGCCATAGATTGCTTCAAGTCCCCTGTTCTGTGATCCAGAAGTGGGTTGTGAGAGATAGAGCTGCCAGAAAGCACCTGTTCCTACGTCCTGTCCAAGGTCTGGCTTCTCTGAGTGTGCCTGGGCCTCTTCTTGCCTTAGTCCTAAGTACTAGGTCCTAGGGGATATAAAAATGAATAAGACTCCACCTCTGCCCTCAAATAGGTTACAGCCTAGTAGAGGGGAATAAGACATGGAGAGAAATATAGGATGGGAAAAAGTATGATGAGCAGAGCTAGGCCAGTTTGAAAAGTGAGCCCATCTGTTCCAATCCATCTAAGGCTTTGAACCTTTATTGTAACATATGGGGGCTTGACGTCAGAAAATTAATCTCCGTAGGCCATGAAGAACAGATTTTTGTGTCACAACAAATATCTGTATTTATTAAAAGTCACGTTTAAAAGGGCCCCTTCAGTGTTGTGCCCTGGGCATTGTCTGAATCCTAGCAGTTATGATAAGGGCCACCAAGGGTCCAAACAAAGTGTTCTTGGGGTTCAGAGGAAAGAAAAGTGCTTTGAATTTATTGTCTGCCCTGTTTACCAGGGTCCCTGTCATATTTTGCCCCTGGGCCTCCTGTCTCCTCTTATCTTAGATACTTGGTGCTTTTCCCCTTATGCATTGGTACTGTTTACCTGGGAGAGCCCAGATTTGCTTCTTTTCCCTCTCACATTTGAAGAACTCTATGAAGGTTGAGCCCAAGTCTATACTTCCTCTGTCTCTCTTAGACTGTGACTTCTCTAGGTCAGGTCCTGGGACTGCTCCTCTTCTGTCTCCCCCCAGACCATTAGCTCTCTGAGGGCAGGGCTCAGATCTGTCCCTCCTCTGTCTCTCCCAGGCCGTGGTTAAGACATTGTAGCCTGTAATTGAGTATGGCCCAAAGGGGACCCAGGGAATTGCCTGTGGCTGCCTGGGCCTGGTTATCATCCTATGATAACTATGAGAGCTATGTGATATATGGTTGGTTCTATCCTTTCAGTTGGTAACTGGTCTAGGGAGATTTTTTTTTCCCTCTAGGGGAGGGAAACTTTTGGAGTTCAAGGCTCCAAATTTCAGGTTGGCCAGGCAGATACCCAACACCTCAGGGCCTGCAGATTGGAGGAGAGGGGAGTGGGTATAGTAGGGACCATGAAGTGAATTCTGGAAGCCATTGCTGGGGCCAGTGCAAATTGAGAGGGGCTGAGGAAACCTCAGGCCCCCTCTTCCTCTCTCTCTAAACCCCCTCCAACAAATGCATACCCAGCACTTTGATTCTGGGAAGCCTAGGTCAGGTGTCTATAGAAGGAGGGCATCACCTGGGGGCTCTCCTCCACCCATCTACTTTTTCAGAAATGGCAGCAGTCTCTCACTGCTCACCCCACTCATACCAGTCCCACTTGCCTGTTCCCACTTGGTCACTTAGTTCCACATAGGATGTTGAGGCCTATATTCCCACAGGCACATGGATGAACCCATGCACATCCTCACACATACACACTCAGATGTTTGCTTATAGGTGTGGGACTTTGTCTTTTCTCCAATACTTTCTCTTTCCCCTAATCCCTCCAAAGCTGAAGTTGGGGACAGTTGGAAGGAGGTTGTTTACTTTCCAGAGAATGCCTCAATAAATGGCTGGATGTAGCTAGCTACCTGTATCTATCTGCCTGCCTGCTAGCCTATCTGTCTATGTAGGGCAAATAGTGTAGATTTCATTTTTTGAAAAATCAAACAATCATGGATGACCCTCCATGGATGTCTGGGGTTCAGGTGGCTTTCTGGACCTCTTTTTGGATCTTGGTTCTGCTCTTTTTTAAATTCAAACTTGGAGAGACCCAGTTCCAAAGTGATCCCTCTGCCCCACAAAAGCTGGAGTCATTCAGACCACCTCTCTGACCTTGGGACTTGTCTACTCATTTCAGTTTGGCCTGAATGGTGGCCAAGTACCAGGCCCAGGAGACTGTCCTTAGTCCTCTCAAGGATGCCAGTGGTTATATCCACTTCCTCCTGCCTGAGGAGAGTCAGCCAAGGTCCCAGACAAAGGCTCACCTCCCTGTAACCTCATCAACTGATCAGGCTGCCTTGATCGACCTTCTACATAATGAATGAATAAAAGAATGAGATTCATGGCTGTGTAGGGTCAAACCCTTCTTCTTCAGGTAATCCATCCATAGCAGACTGTTTCCTGAAAGCTTTTTAATAGGGTCATATCTGGATTTCTGATGAATGATGCACCCTCTCTACTTAGATGAGACCGTGAATGAGTAGGGCAGGGCAGGAACTCTATGAAGAGGGTTTACCATGAAAGGAGGAGGGCTACCGAAGCCACCAACTGTGTAACAGGCATAGTCTTCAATTCAGTTCATAGAAACACAGAATACCAGAGCTGCCAGGGACTTTAGAACAGGAAAAATAGATCATCAGAGCTAGAAGAGACTTTAGAACCAAGAATAGAGACTCAGAGCTGGAAGAGACCTTAGAACAGAGAACAGAGACTCAGAGCCAGAAGAGGCCTTAGAACAGAGAACAGAGACTCAGAGCTGGAAGAGACCTTAGAATGGAGAACAGAGACTCAGAGCTGGAAGAGATCTTAGAATGGAGAACAGAGACTCAGAGCCGGAAGAGACGTTAGAACCAATCAGGTCCAACTTCCCTTCATCTTTAGCAAGAAGGGAAAAAAGAGCCAGAAAGATTAGCCCAGGGTTACATCAGTAAAACCTGTCAGAGCTTGAGATGCAAAACCAAGTGCCCTAGTTCCCAGTGTCTCTGGTATGTGATGTTACCAGATGTAACCCATTCTCTGCTTCTTTAAACCCCTTTATTTCCTTCAAGACTTGGGTCAGGTGCCAACTCTTTCATGAAGTCTTTCCTGACTCCTCTCAGCTAGAGGTGGCATGGGTAGGCGGTGGACTTGGAGTCAGAAAGCTATGGGTTCCAATCCTGCCTCAGATACTTACTAGCTGAGTGACCTTGGGAAAATCACTTAACCTTTCTGAGCCTCAGTTTCTTCATTCATAAAACGGGGATAATAACAACAACTAGCTCCCAGGGCTTTTGTGGAGATTAAGCTGCATAGCTTATTTTTAACATGTTTATTTGCTTATTGTCTCCCTCGTTAGATTGTGAGCTCTTTGAGATCAGGGACTGTCTTTTGCCTTTTTTTTTGTATCCCTAGCACTTAGCACAGTGCCTGACACATAGTATGTGCTTAATAAATGCTCATTGACTGACTGATGGCATGCTGTTTTGCAAACCTTAACAGGTTGTATGAAATGTCAACTATTATAATTTGAAGCAATTGCGGCTCCTCAGTCTTTCATATTTCCTCTTTTTACTTCTCCCACGCACTTATCACATTCTCCTTTTCATTACACTGACGTGGGCACACATTTCATCTTGACCCTTAGATTGTGGGTAGCAGATGCCGATGGCCCAGAGAAAGGCAGTCCACCCACTGGGTCAGTCCATCAGTTACATGTATCCCAGACAGGCCCCATGGAAGCACAAGGAACTAGGCCCAGAGTTAACCAGGAAGAGGAGAGCATCTGGCATACATTTGGGGAATTGAGCAGCCCTTTTAATGATCCTCAACCACTCCCTGATACAAAGGCCCATTCCTTTAATACCAGTATTCTCTTGGGGATGGTATGTGGCCATAAGTCATAGAATACCACAGTCTCTGAAGAATCAGAATCACAGGTGCCCCAAAGAGCTGTGTAAATTCACTTGGCAGGCCGTGGCAAGGGGCCGTTGGTGACTTGCACATAAGAAGTGGTTTAGAAGACACCATCTGTGACCTGGAAAGGAAGTGGGCCAATCGTGTCAATGAGAACAGGAGACTCCATGTGGACAGCCCCAGTGTTGCCCTGGTATCCACTCCCTTCCCCCAAAGGTTAGGAGAACCAGAGAACATGCTCCAGCAGATTAGACAGACCCTTTGGGGAAGATTTATAGGAAGACACAGACAAGTATCACAAAGGATGAGGAGGTGCAGAGGGGTGAAATATACCTGGTGGAAGGGATAGGGATATTCATTCACGTTGATTGGACTACTGACCTCTTGAAGCAGCCAGGTGGTCATTCCCTCTATTCAGTTATCAAGTTATTGAGATAGGAGATTATGTGGTCTTCCATCTTTGTATCCCCAGTGCCAAACCCGGGGCCTTCCCTCAGTGAGAGGACAGTCATTCAACAAGTTTGAGAGCTCGTCTTTCCATCTTGTCTGTAAGGAAAGTACAGGAGGCTGTCAATCAGTTTTGGGGAAATCCAGATACAATGCTACCTACCCCTTGACAGAGAGGTGACAAACTCAGAGTGCAGATTGAGACGCATCTTTTTTTTTTCTAGATATGGCCAATGCTGGAATTTGTTTTGCTTGACTATATATTTATAGCATTTTTTAGAAAAAATTCTTTCTCAGTGTGAGTTGGGGGCAGGAAGGAGAGAAGGCAGATTTTTGCTGATTTTTAAAAAATAATTAAAAAAAAAGAAAGAAACCCAAGTATGCCTGTCTTTGGCAATCCCCTGATCTACCATTGTAGAAAAAGAGGGAACTTAATCATGTTTGATGAATTGAACAATCTTTATAACAGCTCTGGAAGGGAAGCTGTGTGGGGAATGTTGTCCCCATTTGGCAGAAGAAGAAGCCATCTCAGGGAGGAGTCACCCTGCTGGTAAGTGACAGATAATAGAACCCAGATCTCGACTGTACCTTTCTGCCCTATCTCTAGCCTAAAGATAAGTCAGCCTCAGCCTCCATCTCCTCCATTAGAGCTTTCCCCCCAAATGCCTGTTTGCCCTTTAAAGCTGTTTTACCCCTAAAGGTTCTGAAAGAAAATTCAAGGCCAGAGATTCACCAGCGGGACAGGTTGGTTGTTTTGAACTCATTAGGCCTAAGCAGAGAGCATGGAATGTGACTCCCAGGCCAGGACTTGGGCCCAGCAGGGCAGGGCAGGGCAGGGCTAGGCCGCCCTGAGTCTTTGAGGGAAACATACCTCTGCAACACCTGATTCTATCAGGTGCTGATGAATGTGAGGTGAGTACACAGAACTTGTCTTGTGGCTCAGTGTTCTGGATAAATCAAGGCCCCGATCATTTTGCCCCTAGCTCTGCTCTCATCACTTGGAAACACCCTGAGTGATTCATGCAACTCCACTCCACGTGTTTCCCATTCATTTACAGTGAAATCATTGAAATGGTCATTTAAAACAACAGTTATGTGTCCAAGAAAACTTTCCAGTGGGTTTCCTAAAAGCTTAGAATATGCTTGGCAAAGAGTGTAGAGAACAGAGTGTCAGAGTGAGGAGAGACCATCCAATCCAACCCCTTCTTTTATAGGTGGGAAAACTGAGGCCCAGCTTGGGGAAAGGACTCGTCCAATGTCACACAGCACAGCAACCATAGAGCTGGGCTTAGAGGAGGGGTGGGGAACCTGTGGCCTCGAGGCCACATATGGCCCTCTAGGTCCTCAAGTGTGACCCTTTGACTGAATCACAGGTTCTGTGAAGTTTGGATTTAGTCAAAGGGCCACAGTTGAGGACCTAGAGAGCCACATGTGGCCTCGAGGCCACAGATTTCCCAACCCTGGGTTAGAGCATAGCTGTCTCAGACTTAGTACATTCTTAGACTGAGTTGTCCCTGAAGAGGAAGGCATTATAGCCATTAGCTTTGTGTATGGGGTTAGGAGTGAAGCTCTTGGCATGGTTTGCAGGGTCATCTTTGCAGGCAGAATTGTGTAGTCAGTCCCTCCACCTCCCCTCCCTACCCTTTTTTTCTGGGCCTTTTTTTTCCTCTTGGAATACCTCTTCCTCTCTCGTCCTCCTCTAACCCCATATGCTCAATGCAAATTCCTGCAGAAGAAGCAAAGCTATGGGAAAGCAGGCCCTCATCTGGGGCCCTTGGGCTGCTTGGGATGCCAGTGGGGCTGGTGGTTTCTTGGGCCCCGAGGAAGTGAACAAACACTTACTGCCCTGATTTGGATCCAGTTGACCAATTCTGGGAGTGGCTATAAGAGGGACAGCTTTCATGCAGCAGTTTGGAAAATCCCAGAGTTAGGTGGGACCTCAGAGGTTCCAGATCAATCTGAACCCAAGCAGGATTTCCTGCTGATGGCTGGTAACCAGACACAGACTCCTAAAGTCTTGGATTCATAGATCTGGAAGGAACCTCAGAGGAGATGTAGTTCAGCCTCTCTTCAAGGACCAGAATGCCCTCTTACAGTGTTCCTGATAGAGGGTCATTCAGTTTCTGTGTAAATACTTACAGTAACAGGGACCTTAGTACCTCCCAAGGCAGCCCATCCAACTGATAGAAAGTTAATCTTCGTTATTTAACCTATGATCAAATACTTCCCACTTCTGAAACTTCCCAGATACCTCATGCTGACATCTCTCAATTAGATCTTTTTTTGGGAGGGGAAAGGGCAGGATAGAGATATAACCAGTCTCTACCTGCTCATGGGAAGACTTGATAAAAGTTCTTAGCTTCAAAACTGCAGCCTGGAGTTAAATGCTAGCAATTTTTCTTCGTGTTTTTCCTCTTCTTTCATTTTTTCTCCTTAGTTCTCTTCCTTGCATCCTTGCTTTTAAATCTGCTTTCAGGAAAAAGTCTGTTATTAGTATTTAGCGTGGCCTAGTAGATAGAATTCTGAATTTGGAGTTAGGAAAACTGGGGTTTAAATCCCACCTTAGACACTTGCTAGTCAAATGTCTCTAGGCAAATCACTTAACATGTCTCAGCCTCGGTTTCCTGAGGCTGTAAAATGGGGATAATAATAGCACACACTTCACAAGGTTGTTGTCCTCACAACCTTGTCTGATGAGGTCATATACCTACAACTCTTCAATAAAAGTTTAGAAATTGATTAGTATGAATTAGCCACCTTCCTTCAACTTTGATTCAGCCTGGTATGAACAGGGTCTCTTGTTCAGTGCTGTGGTGGAAGTAAATAGGGAGGCTACAGGGTCCCTGCACTCAGAGACCTCACAGTTGACTAGGGGAATGGAGACATGGGCACTGATGTGACTGTAATGTCAAGAAGAAAGTGATATATACATGAAAGAAACACTGACAAGTCAACTGGAGATTCAGTCGAGGGAAAGTCCCTTCCATCTGCGGGAGCTGCAGGGAAGACTTCCTGGAGAAGGTGGCAATTGGCCTGGGCTTAAGAAAGAGAGGAGGACATCAACACTAGAGATAGAGGTAGAGGGAGGACCATTATAGGCTGAAAGAGCAGGTCCCAGAGTCAGAAAATACCAGGATGAGTTCAGAAGCTGAAATAATTTAGGTGAGAGAGAGTGGTGGGCCATAGGACTAGAAGGTATCCCCTCTCCATTCTCCCTGACTCTCTGATCTGATCCCATCTCACGGCATAGTAGAATAAGGTCTGAAGTCTCCTCTCTCATTTCCTGTATCTAATCAGTTGCTAAGTCTTGTCAATTCTACCTTCCAAACATTCTCTCTGAGACTGCCACCCCTTGGTGCAGGCCGTCATCCTCTGGACTATTGCAATAGCCTGCTGGTGGGTCGGCCTGCCTCAGATTTCTCCCCATTCCAATCCATCCTCCACTAAGCTGTTAAATCAGTAAGTAGTCCTAAGGTGAGAGTTTGACCATATCACCGCCACTCCCCCTTCAATAAACTCCAGTGGCTCTCTATCACTTCCAGGCCCAATAAATCCCATTTCACTTTTAAAGCCCTTTGTGATGTTGTTTCAGTCCTGTCTGACTCTTTGTGACCCATTTTGGAGTTTTCTTGGCAAAGGTATTGGAGTGGTTTGCCATTTCCTTCTCCAGCTCGTTTTTACAGATGAGGAAACTGAGGCAAACAGGATTAAAGACTTTCCCAGGGTCACACAACTAATAAGTGTCTGAGTCTGGCCTTGAACTTAGGAAGATGAGTGAGTTTTCTTGACTCTAGGCCTAGCACTCCATCCACCACGGTGCCACCTTGCGGCTCCTCAAAGCCCTTTATAACCTTGCCCTTTCCTACCTTTCCAGTCTTCTTACACCTTACTCCTCTACACCTACTCTGAGGTCCATTGACACTGGCTTCCACGCTGTTTCTCACACAACACTGTACATCTCCTGATTCTGGCTATTTTCAATGGTTTTCCCTGTGCCTAGAATTCTCTCCCTGCCTCCCTCTCTCCCTCCCTCTGCATCTCTGCCTCCTGGCTTTTTTCAAGTCGCTGCTAAAATCACACTTCTATAGGACGTCCTTTCCAGGCCCCCTTAATGCTAATGCTTTCTCTCCATTGCTTATCTGCAGCTTAGCCGGTCTTTATCTGGTTGGTACAAAGTTGTTTGTATGTTGTAGCCCTCCTTACATGTTACGTGGAGAACTCCTTGAGAACGTGGGCTGTTGTTTTGTCTTGGGCCCTTCTTTGCATTTCCAGATCTTAGCACAGGACCTAGAACACAGTAGGCACTTAATATATGCTCCTTGACTGACTGACTACCTATGTGACCTTAGGCAATCAGTCAATCAAGCAATAGGTATTTATTGAGCCCCTAATTCCCAGCACTGGGTACTGAGGATATGAAGATTAAATATGAAGCTGTGCCTGGCCCTAAGGAGCTTTCATTCTATCTGGGGATACAGCATGTCTATAGATACAGCATGCCACTTGAACTGAGTTTTGAAGGAAATAAAGCATTGTGGGGTGTGAGCAGCACCTGGGGCTGAGGGGAGGGTGGTGCCTGGGCTGTGCCCCAAGTGATGCTGGGTGGGGTGGGGGAGCCTGGGGCATTGCTGGGGGCATTTCCTGGGATGTTGGGGGATGAGATCCCCAGGGTGATGCCTAGAGAGGTGCCTGGGTTAGGTGCCTCAGCCAGGCACTGAGATGGACACTGGAAAGACTGTGCCTGCCCTGTGGGCTGGGCTGGGCTGGGCTGGGCCCATCATACTTGGCTAAGGCTGAAGAGCTGTTCTGGTGGTTCAGACTACCATGTGCCTGGGCAATGGGGGAGGTCTGTGTCTTCATCAGTGGAGCAGGCACAGCTGGGACCATGGATTGAAGGTGGGGGGGAGTGGTGTCTGATGAAGGTGGACTTCTCATCCAGGATGCAGGGCAGGAGGTGCGGCTTGGGTCTGAGTTTTACCAGATGAATTCTGAGTTCTGCTCTAGCTCAGAGATTCTAGCATTTTTGGGCTCTAGCTGCAACAGGGCGAGGGGAAAGGTGTGAGGCAGAGGGGTGGTGGCAAGGAACTTCCTGGCACCCTGAAACTGCTGCCCATGGGCTAATGATGTATACACTGCTACTCGGTGAGCCCAGCTCTGTTCTGGCCTGTCCCACAGCCAAGCCCTTGGAGGTTACCAGACGGTCTCTTTGTTAGGTCTCCTTTCTGCCCCAGCTCCTGTGAAATGCCTGGGCCGGATCCAAACCGTCAGAGACATCCTCAGCACAGTGCTCAGGAACAGGCTCTGCCACAGGCCGGACACAGGAGTTCTCCCACACATTCTCTGTCGGTGACTCATGGGGTGGGTGTGTGATTCTTTCATTCATGCCTGTGGATAAACACCAACCTGGCAGGGGCATAGCTTGGGAGGATGCCAGTCAAAAAGCCGGAGAATACCAGAGCTGGGACGGGGCACACTGTGTGTTGTGCTGGAAGGAGCTTTGGAACTAGGCAGAGGACCTGCATTGGAGTCCTTTCTTTGCCACTTCTAAACCCCTGTGAGCCACCTTAGGAAAGTCATTTGATCTCTCCTGGCCTCAGTTTCCCCCTATGTAATATGAGAGGGTTGCAGTAGAGCAAGGGGTTCTTAACCTGGAGTTGAGACACTTCTACAGGAAGCCTTTCTCAATCTCTTTTAATTCTAGAGCCTTCCCTCTGTTAATTATTTCTTCTTCATCCTGTCTATATCTTGTTTCCACATAGTTGTTTGCATGGTGTCTTCTTCGTTAGACTGTAAGCTCTTTGAGGTCAGGGATTATATTACTGTATTTTTACCTTTCTTTGTATCCCCAGTGCTCAGCACATCACCTGGCAATAGTAGGTGCTGAATAAATGTTTATTGACTGACCAACATCTGTGGATAGATTTCAAGGAGTCTTTGAACTTGGACGGGAAAAAAAAGTACTTCCCCCCGCCCCAACTAACCTTTAATGGAAATTTGACATTTCTTTCAATTATTATTTAAAAAAAAAACCAAACCCAACAACCCAACATAAAAAACTTGATCCTGAGAGCTGACCTCTAGGTTTCACAGACTGTCAAAGGATTCCATGCTACAAAAAGGAGGAAAAACTCTTGGACTAGAGGATCTCCAAGGAGCCTTTCCTGTGTTCCATCACTGGAATGTTTAAATGGAGGCTTAATAGTAAAAACTTATGTTTCTTTAGAGATTTAAAGTTTGCAAAACACTTCCCTAACCACAACTGTGTGAGGCAAGCAGTCTAAGCATTAGTATTTTCATTTCAGAGCTGAGGAAACTGACTGAGAGAGAGTAAGTGACTCACCCATGGTCGATCACATTGGTCACACAACCGCTGGGCAGCTGTTTGGGGCAGTATGCTATGTCCTACAGCGAAGTTACAGGTTGGAGATGCCATGGAGAAGGCTCCTGCTTCATGGGGTTGGACTGGATGACCTCTGAGATCTGAGTCTGGGATATAGTCCTCGGGGAGGATGTCCTGGAAAAGTCCCAATAGTGATGTCCCCACGGCTCTCTGAATGCTTTTATTCAATGATTACTTTGTATCAGAAGCATTGAAAGCAGTGAGATCTGCAGTCATTAGATAGAGGTCAGTTGAAGAATCCACACAGGGAGCATCAAGTGGATGAAAAGTGCCTGTTGTCCGGGCCATGACTTGCATTTGGATGGGCAATCCATTGGGTTAGTCTATCAGAACGTCTTGGACAGACTCCACAAATGGACAACGAGGGTGAGTGGGGAGCAGCCTAAAACTGAAGAAGAGGCAAGACGGCTTGATAGTATTGGGCAGTGTACTGGGTTGTATTGATTCCGTGATGAATTCTCCTTAATACAAAAGCCTGGCTCTTTAACATCATTTTCTCTCATTGAAGCTCTATGACTGAGAGTCACAGAGTGCGGTGATCTCAGAAGAAACACCACTGTAGGTGTTGGCAATAGAAAGATGTATGGTGGGTGTATGTAGGCTTAATTGGTTTGCCAAGGATCATTTATGCCAAAGAAGAGATTTAAAATGGAACATTCCACCAATGTACAATCAGAAAAGGCTGAAGACCAGTCATACAGTGAAATGAGAAGTAGGAGTAATTGATGCCCTAGTTTATTTATCTTTTTGGACTGCACTGTGACTTTGTTTGTATAAGCAACACCCATGAGGAAACTCCCTCTGTTTCTGAAGATAAGCACCTGCTTTGCAACTCAAAGGCTCCTTAGAGAGTTGTCTGGAGGCCCTGAGTGAGAAGTTAAATGACTTATCTAGGGTCCCACAGCTAGCATATGTTGGACACAGGACTCAACTTTGATCTTTCCAACTCTAAGGTTACTATACTGTGTTGGTATCCCCAGGATATTGGAAGTGCCAGAGAAAGGCCTTTAGCCTCTAGCCTTTAGCACAGAATGAAATTGTGCAGATGAGTTGATATCTGAACCTTTGGAGGGAGTACCCACCTGAATGAGGTCATGTATCATTCAAAGTATCAGAGTATTTACAAAGTATGATCTAGTCCAATCTCATTTTACAGAAGGGAAACTGATACCCAAATGAGACAACTGTCTTGCTTTAGGTCAGAGATAGGTAGATGATAAAAGATAGACGCATTATATATAAATAGATGCTAAATAACTAACCAGCTCAGTGCCATGGATACAGATTCAAGCAAGCAAGATAATTCTTGCCCTCCTCAAGGACTTCTTCTTCTTCCTCCTCTTCCTCCTCCTCCTCCTTTCTCCTTCTCCTTTTCCTCCTCCTCCTCCTTTTCCTCCTCCTCCTCTTCCTCCTCCTCCTCTTCCTTCTCTTCTTCTTCTTCTTTCTTCTTCTTCTTCTTCTTCTTCTTCCTCCTCCTCCTCCTCCTCTTCCTCCTCCTCTTCTTCTTCTTCTCCTTCTTCTTCTTCTTCTTCTTCTTCTTCTTCTTCTTCTTCTTCCTCCTCTCTCCTCCTCCTCCTCCTCCTCCTCTTCTCCTCCTCCTCCTCCTCCTCCTCTCCTCCTCCTCCTCCTCCTCCTCCTCCTCCTCCTCCTCCTCCTCCTCCTCCTCCTCTTTCTCTTATGTTGTAATGGCAGAAGACAACAAAGAAAGGAGAGCTAGAGAAAAGGAAAGGGGGAGGCAGATGGTGTGGAGGTGGCCTAGAAATGGCTTCCAGGCAAACTAAGTTTGCCTGTGAGAGCTGGGGACCCAGGGGCGGAGTCCAAAGAGATAGAGGTGATAGTCTGGAGCCTCATCAATCTCATCCCAACAGCTTTAAACTGGAAAGGGAGGGAGAGGGGGAATATGGCCCACATAGAACTGACAGGCCTGGCACTGTAGAGAGTAGTGCGCGTAACAGAGCAGGGATAGCAGAAAAAAGGAATAAGGATTCATGGGAGATAGTGTCCAAAGAGAGAGCCAGTCAGAAAACCCCTGGCCTCCAGAGTGGTCTATTTACAGATAAATGCACAAAATCTGAGTAATTAATTAATCAGGTGAATAGATTCAAGAAGACCCATTTGACCTCACTGAGCCTCATGACTGGAATATGGCTCTAGGAGTGAGTTAGTCAATATCAACACTCAATGATATTAAGCACCTACTAAGTGTCAAGCTCTGTGCTAAGTGCTGGGGATGCCTGCTCTCAAGTAGATCACAATCTAACGGCACTGGAAGGGTATACTTTATTCAAAAGGAATGCAATGGGTAAAGGGGTTTTTTTGTGTATGTATGTGTATACACGTGTATATACCTATATGCACACAGATATATGTATATAATTATATACACACATACACACAGCTAGTAAGAGTCTCAGGCTGGATTCGAACTTAGGTCTTTCTAAGTCCAATTCGCTGAGTGCGAGCCACCAGGCAAAGAGAACTGCATTTGAGAGTATTGAAAGATTAGGCTGAATACCTCCTGAGCTGTTGGTAACCTTTGAAATTTCAGGGAGACTGGAAGGGAAGCTGAAGAACTGGAGGAGAGCTGATGTCCCAATTTTCATAAAAGGGAAGAGAATAGAGTCCATAAGCTTATACAGGTTAAGTGAATTTCACTTCTATTCCTGAACCTTTGCCATAGTGACAGGAATTTAAGTCAGAGGTCTCTGCATGTGAAGGGAGGTGGGGACTTTTGTCTGGTGGTAGGAGTGCAGGGCAAAATTTTCCAGCTCCCCTCCCTTTCATCCCCTCCCTCCCCTTCCCCCTCCCCTTCCCCCCACTCCAGTGTTGTAATGCCTCCTTGAGGCTTATCCAGGGTAATTTGTATGATCCTGGCACTAGACGTCATGGACATGATGGGAGCTGAAAGGAATTCATTTGCTCCAACCCAATTATTATCAGGTCTGGGGGTCACCCATTGCAGGGGGAGGGAGAGGTAAGTGAGGTTGAAAAAAAGGCCTTAACAGCCACCTGCCAAGGCCCTTTAGCAGGTATGGTGGTGAGCCTGACAAAAGCTAAAAATGTGTTATTGGCCTTCAGGAATGTTGCCCCAGGCAGTCTCATAAAAGAATGATAACACTCATTCTGAGGAAGATGCCTTGACTTCTCTCCCTTGATCAACTCTCACCTAGACTATTGCAATAGTTTCCTAATTGATCTCCCTGCTTCCAGTCTCCCCTACCTTCTTCCACACAGCTGCCAAATTGATATTCTTAGAATACCCATCTGATTGTGTCTGCTTCTTATTCAAAATTCTTCAGTGGCTCCCAATTATCTTTAATACAAAATCATCAGCCTGATATTTAAAATTCTCCACATTCCGGCTCCCACCTATCTTTACATTCTTATTTCACGTTGTTATTCATCTCTACACGCTTGCCATTCTAGTCAATTAGCCAACTGTCTCCACTCTGTGGCACAGATGATGCCCCATATCTGGACCACACTCCATCCTCACCTCCACCTCTTAGACTCATGAGCATTCAAAGCACAGGTTAGGAGCCAACTCCTTTGTGAGACCTTTCTTGATCCCCCCAGTGATTAGTGTCTTTCCCTCTTAAAATTATTTTGAACTATGTGATATGTACTTTATGTTTACCTGAAGAGGCAACATGGTATAGTGGATAGAGATTTGGCCAGGAAGACCTGAGTGTAAGTCTTTTTTTTTTTTTTAAGGCAGTTGGGGTTAAGTGACTTGCCCAGGGTCACATAGCTAGTAAATGTCAAGCATTTGGTCTGAGGTCGAATTTGAATTCAGATCCTCCTGACTTCAGGGCCAGTGCTCTACCCACTGCACCACCTAGCTGCCTCTGGGTTTAAGTTTTGCTTATGACTTATTTGTAAGCATTTTTCAGTGCTAGTCTGGGCTACAAGTGCAGAAAAGGTACTGGTTGGCCTGCATCCATCCATCTTTCCTTCCTTCCTTCCTTCCTTCCTTCCTTCCTTCCTTCCTTCCTTCCTTCCTTCCTTCCTTCCTTCCTCCCTTCCTTCCTTGATTCCTTCCTTCTTCTTCCTTGATTCTCTCTCTCTCTCTCTCTCTCTCTCTCTCTCTCTCTCTCTTTCTCTCTCTCTGTATCTGTGTCTCTCCCCACCCCCTACCAATCTATCTAAGTACATGCTGTATCTTCCTGGTGGATTGTAAACTTCCTGAGGGGAGAGGCTGTTTGGTTTTCTCATTTTATCCTGAGCACCTAGTGCCATGCCTTAAGTCGGTACTTAATAAATGTTATTCATCTCTCCAGAGGACTTGCCACTCGCTGGTCAGTTGACAGACATAGGAATGTTTAGGGGACAAAATAAAACTGTCTTTAGAGATTTGAAGGCTATCACATGGAAGGGATTATGCTTGCTCTTTGTGCCCCAGAAGAGAGAACTAGGACTCATACAGGAAAACTGCAAAGAAATAGATACAGGGGCAGCTAGGTGGTGCAGTGGGTAGAGCACAGGCCCTGAAGTCAGGAGGACCTGAGTTCAAATCTGGCCTCAGGCCAAACACTTGACACTTACTAGCTGTATGACCCTGGGCAAGTCACTTAACCCCAATTGCCTTAAAAAAAAAAGAAGTAAGTTTAGTCTTTATATAAAGGGGAAAAAAAACCTTCCTAATCATTAGAGGTCCAAGGTTGGAATGGACCATCTATAGAACCGGTGAGTTTGTCCTTATTGGAGGTCTTCAGGTAGAAGCTGGGGGCCACTGCAGGCGGCTGGTGAAAAGATTTAAATTCTCGGTTAGATGAGGTGCCCTCTGAAGTCCCTTCCACTTCAGAGGGGTGGGGATTCACCAGAGTGGATGCTCCCTCCATCCATACAGACCCCAGCACATCCCTGTCTTTTCCCCTGTGAGAAGCTGGTCTATGGCCTTCCATAAGCGTTCCCGCAAAGACTCACTCACACAGCACATTGGGGAGCTTCCTCTGGTTCTTTTCCTATCTCAGAAGCAGCAGTGCAGCACCGGGGCTGTCTATCTGGGATAACTCCCTTATTTTACAGAGGAGACAAGTTTCATCTGACGGGTTCAGCAGCTTCCTTATATTATTATACTATATACTTCTATCACACAACTGGTAATTGCCAAGGCAGGGATCAACGCTAAACAGAGAGGAAGGAAGGTGATGAGTTGTAGAGGAATGGATAGATGCAGAGAAAGGGGAATGAGAAGGACACATATCCCTTTTAATTTCCCCTTCTTTCCCCTTGCTCCAGAGTCTAGACCCTTGGATGAATTGCGCACCCTTGCAGAAGCCTCCCAGGTTTCCAGTGAGTTTGCCCCCTAGTTTTGTAAAAATCCTCAACCTCGCACCCACTTCTCTGGGCTATGCTTCTTAGCTGTTAATTAAATCAGGACCCAGACTAAGTTTATTCCTTGGAGAGTAATCAGAAAGATTTTATTACCCTCTTGTTCTTCATAATTAGGTCCTCCTTTGTTCCCCCAGACTGTAAGCTCCCTCAGGGCAGCGCCCAGTTCAATTCCTTTCTCTCTTCTAGGAGATAAACTCCTCCCTGAGGGCAGGGGCCAGGTTTTCTCCTCCTTTAAGCGCTTGCCTCAGGCCAGTTGCTCTAGTTTCTGTTCTGACTGGGAGTTTTCACAGAGCAAGACTCAGGCCCATGCCTTCTCTCTTCTAGGTGATAATGCCAGGCTTTCTTTTCCTTTATTTTCCCCAGACTGTGAGCCTCCTGAGGGCAGGTCCTGGAGCTAAGCTGCTCCTCCCCTGTCCTGCTCACTGTGGATCTGGGAGTGGGGTTGGGGAATACTTCATAAATATATTTTGATTGGTTGATAAAAACTCTTTCCTTAATTTCTCCCCAACCACCGTCCCCAGATCCAGACACCATCTCAGCAAGACTGTAACAACTCTTTAAAATAGAACAAATCCCAGAATTTCCAGAGGAATTTAAAGCACTCCAAAAAACGGCCCAAACTGTGACATTCATTTTCCTTGGTGCCCTGCATTGAACCAGGTGGTGGTGGAGAGCTCTGACTGATTGCACCTGGTACCTTCTTACAGGGCCAGCGGAAAGCGCAGCTTCCTTGGTCTTTTTCCAGCCCTGGAAGGGATCCTTGTGTAGATCAGCGAGCTGTGGGATCTCCGTTTGTTTAGAATGTCAAAACAGGGAGGGGGAATGGTAGACTATAAAATATCAGAGCTGCAAGGGAACATCCCCAGTGCTGCACTGCTGCCTCTGGGATAGAAATGGGATGTCCAAGCTAAGAGAGATGGCAGAGCTTCAGGAAGCTGCCAGAAGGGTGCCCAGCTCAGCCGAGGGTCTGGACTCTAGAATGAAGGGAAACAAGGGATAAGCCATCTAATACTG